AACTGTTTGATATTTCGTCTCTAAAACAGCTATACAGTGCGATTTCTTTGAAAAATTTTCACAGCATTTAAAAATTTTAAATTACTGTGTTAGAAGTTCCAGCAACTTGCCTTAGACACGATACCATGCACCACTGATTTAAATTTTCAATAGTGTTGTTAACCAGTTTTCAAACATCAAATACTTTTGTCTTCCACAATTTTATTCATATATACCAACATCAAAATTAATTATCCTTAACATCTAATGCATGCGTGTATGCGTGTATATGTATATCGTTTTGAATATCTGTTATTAATTTACGATGATATTCATATGATATAGACTTTCACCTTGCTCTCAAAGTCTGATCATGTTGTTTGTTAAGAAAGTCTGCTCGTATCAGTGGAGAAAGTGTCTTGGCTCGGATCCGACGATGTGTTTGTTGAACTCATATGTTATTTTGCTCCGCATGGGAGCGATAATAATTTATGCGCATGTCAGAGCAAGAAAGTAAGTAATAATCACTTTTACAGCCAACTAATTGAACATTTTCATTCTTATTCGATGAAAATTATCCAGAAAGAGAAAGAGGAATTCGCAATTTGGAATTTTTTCAAATTGCTCGAATATCTTTATGATAAAGACCTACTAAACACTGAAACTCTTATGCACGCTTGTGTGATATTCGCTAATTGTGATGCACCTTACTCAGAAATATTAAATAAAATACAAGAATAGTAGAAAAGGCTAGATACTGTCGTACCACTTTTCTTCGTCAGCAATAATTTTGTCGATTTATCAGTTAGCTGAGAAAAAAGTGAATTAACGATAGTTTAAACATTTGTCTATGTGAAAATACTGAAGTACTGTCTTTATATAAGATGGATAAATAAAATCATACAAAAAAAGGGCGAGGGTCAAAGCCATCCAGGGGGTGTGGACAGACATAAAAATATATTACAAAATAATAGGTATAAAAACTAAAGTGGTTTATAACGACTTCTATTATCAAAAATATGTAAATAAAACACAACATAATTATTTTAACAAAGCTTATAAATATAATTTTTCAAGAAATCTTTTTGAAATCTTTTTAAATTTTTCTAAATTAGGTTAGGTTATTATTTCTTTATCTGTTTAATTTTCACCCAAAAAGAAAAAGGCTAACTACCACATGTCACAACCGTACCAAACGAACACTACCAAAACAAATCATCGTTATGACTGAGCTAAATTATCTATGCAAAAATTGCTGATAATTAACTACTAATGTTCAACTTACAGCAAAATAACAAAGTGATCTATATGTATACAAGTTACAGATATTATGTATTAAAAAAACGAACCAAAATTATTTTTTGTTTGACACTTTAAAAGCGATGCGGTGTACAGATCATGTTAATGTAGTAGTCCAGTCATTTGGTGCAAAAAAAGGCTGTTGCCGGTACAGTACTCCGGGAATTCTGAAAATTGGTAATCTTATAGATTTCGAGGTGCTCTTTACGAAAATCAACTTTGCCACCTCAAATTTGAACGGCAAGTTGCCGCCATATTGGAAAAATGGCGTCAAAAAACAGCTTTTTTAAAATATCTCCTTTCTGGCTGATTCTACGATAAAAGTATCTATGTACGAATTAAACTAGATAAAATTTTCTACAATTCCTTAGAAAACCGTTTTTTTTGTAAAATTGATAGTTTGAGAGTACGGCCGCCTCAAAGTCTTTGCTGCTCTTTCCGTAGTATCAAATCCTTCCATATATGACAGCACTTCGAACTTGACCACATTCTCTCTAATAATTAATATTTTTAATGTTAAATTAAGCGAATAAGATCTAGAAATAAAATAATTCAAATATTTTTCGTTTTTTTTGCTGATTTTTTAACACTCCTATGGCATAGTAGCTATAAGTAAGTAGCTTGAAGTATTAAAAAACAGCAAAAAACAGAAAAATATTTGAATTATTTTATTTCTAGATCTTATTCACTTAATTTAACATTGAAAATATTTATTCATTAGAAGGAATGTGATCAAGTTCAAAGTGCTGTCATATATGGAGAGATTTGATACTACGGCGAGAGCAGCAAAGACTTTGAGGCGGCCGTACTCTCAAACTATCAATTTTACAAAAAACGGTTATCTAAAGAATTGTAGGAAATTTTCTCTAGTTTAATTCGTACATAGATACCTTTATCGTAGAATGAGCCATAAAGGAGATATTTTGAAAAAGCTGTTTTTTGACGCCATTTTTTAATATGGCGGCAACTTGCCGTTCAAATTTGAGGTGGCAAACTTGATTTTCGTAAAGAGCACCTCGAAATCTACAAGATTACCAATTTTCAGAATTCCCGGAGTACTGTACCGGCAAAACGACCAAATGACTGGACTATAGGGCGTCGAAACATACTTCATCTTTTCCCTTTGGACCTTATCTCAAAATCAGAATAGTTTAGCTGTTATGGTAACCGCAACTACCGTACTCTAGCGCAAATCGTACCTGTAGTAATTCAAAATATGCTGTCACTATTTTTCTTTATGTCACTAACAATAAGGTAACTAGTAACAAATGAAAAATTGTATACGTTTGGAATCACATATTTAAAATTTGTTCCAGTTATTTGTATACCAAATGAAAATTATGATAAGTTTACTTTAATTAAATAAATAAGGGCATGAAATTGGGGCTACTGTTTTTTTTAAATTCGATATTTTCACATTCTTTCTCATATTCATCTTGTCGTCAACCTCAATGAATATATTGCAATCGATCATAAAATTTCTTTTCAAAGCTTTCAATAAAAAAGACTTGTTTTGTTATGTAAGACATTAAAAATCGATTTTAGATAAAAATGAGTTTTTTAAATATATATTTTCTAAGTTTAAATTTAAATCACAATTTGTCTTATATTAGACATTTACAATGATTAGAATCATGCAATAAATCATATTGACTTTTGACAAGCTATCCTGTAGAAGAACTTGTTATAAACAAAATGAAAAATTTAGCATAATAGGTATGCTATGATTCTTCATTTTGTTGTATTGTTAATTTTTTTTATTCAACAATATATTTACGACTGTCTTACATGAACATTTAGTAAATCTTCAGTAAATTGTCCATTTTTCTAATCTTTGAAATATTTATATTATAAATATCTTAAAGATTAAAAAAAATTATAATACAACAAGAAAAATTAACTAATAGCAACTAATTAGTTCTTTTGCACTGCTATTGTTTTATATAACTGTAAAGCATATTCGTCAGAGTGATTCATAATTTTTTAAATATTATTGTTGCTGAATTTTAAACAAAATAAACAATATTTCACTGTGAAAGAACTCAATTATATTTTGCACATTTCCTTTATGGTTCTGTGCATTTGAGAATTCGAGTAATTCAAAAGTTGATGCTTGGCTTAACTTGTTATCTATGGGATCTGAATACATTCATTTCTTTAGAAAAATATGAAAAGAAATTTGCAATTTGGAATTTTTCGTATAATTCTATTGTGAATAGTATAACATTGTTCAGGTTCCGTGAGTTTAACATTTCAAATTATGATGGGCAAAATAAAACATTAAATTTCCACTAGTGTATTTAACCAGTCTCCAATCATCAAATAAGTTTTTCAGTGGATTAAACCTTCAGTTTTGATGTTTCTCTAATTATTAAAATCGGTTGATCGGTTAATGTTATAGATAGTCCTCAAATTCTTAACCAACTATCTTTTAACGTTCTTAAAATCCAATAAGTTCACATATTTTTCAAGTATCCTACATCCTAAGTTAAATGTTTTTTAAATTCACGTGTAGTAGTAAAATCTGTAAAGGCTTGATACACAAAATTTGACAATTGAGCAATTATATTGTGCAAACTATGTCAATTATATCATAACAATTACACATAGCAAACAAACAACAATCTGACTATGTTCAGTTAAACTCCCAGCTAATTCGTCATTGTTGAAATGTGTTTTTGCTGTTTTTCAAAAATTTGCCAGCTAGTCTTTTTCACGCTACTGGCGGGGTAAAATGGGCAGCCATTGGGAAAACAATAATCCAATGTCTTGTTTTCATTCATCTATATTCAACCAATGCAAAATATAAATTTTCTGTGTATATTTTTGACAGGAATAACACTATTATCATGCAGTATATTATACAGATGACAGTTATATATAGTCTGTATAAAACCCGGATCTGGTAATTCGTCAGAAATATTGATCAACAGAGTTGGAATAACTATTTATTGATCTCATTTCTTGTAAAATTGTTCTTTTGAACTTAATTTACTTTTTTACTTACTATTTTTTATTGTTTACATCTTTGCCAGGTTAAAGGTTCAGTTGACAGCTTTTATAAAAGAAATTTAATTCTAACTTAAAAATAACAATAATCTTATAAAACATTTAAAAACAAAGTTTTAAACATTATATTGAGTTCTCGTAAAATAAACAACCAAAAAAATTAATAACGAAAGAAATTACTTTTATTATGGATTTTCAAAAGGAATCAAGATGATGGCTGATTATACATTTTTTTCCTTCTACTTTCAAATATTGTTGTTAAAATAATCATTGTTCAGAACAAATCTCTGAGAATCAAAATCAGCATTTCATCAAATTTCATTTTTTCCACATTCTATTACCACTAATTTCTAAATTAACTAGTTATCATTCTCAATTTTAATTCACAGAACAAATGACCAAATTCTGTTTGATATTTAAATATTTACATAATTTTTATGCAATTCGTCTAATGTGAGAAGAATTCTCGAGTGCTAATTATGCTAATCCATAGCTTGGTCCTCAGGCAATTTCAAAATGCGAAAATCTTTTTAAGAATAAATTCTAAATGCGTTTTGCGAAATGTATCTACGAGTATATGTAATGAGCCAATTGCAAATAGAATCTAAATAAAGATATATATCTAAATTAAATATATGCTTCGATATGCGAATGCTTTGATGATGATAGAGAATGATGCAATGTTGTACGAATGACATAACGAGTAATACGTAATGGCTAAGATGTTTTCTCTTTTAACTAATCTATTATGTGGAGAATTTGAACTCCAAGATTTATACGAAGAGAAAATAAGACCACTGAAACGGACACAGGGTTTTGGTGCCAGTAGTTTAAGTTAGATTAAATCAGGGCAAAAGTTGGAAAATTCGACAAGGAGTTAATGTTGTTAATATGCGTTCTGTAAATATAATTTTGGTCGACTAATAATTTTTATTTATTTTATCCAGGAGTGCTCTGCCAAGAACAAGAAGACCCCTGCCAATCCAAAACCCGGGTGTCACCTGATAGAACGCATTGCGATCGCTACTGGGAATGTCAGAATGGCAGGGCCGAATTATATGACTGCCCCAACGGGTTGGTCTTCGCTGGTAAGCACAGGGGAGTGACCGAAGGCTGCGACTACCCCTGGAGGAACGAAGACTATTGTCACGGAAAACAACTTGCCAGTAAGTAGTTGATAAATATAATAATTGAAAACTGTATTTTTCAAATCTGGTATAACAACTATATTTTTACGCTCTATACATAATCAAAAAATAAAAACGTAATGACATTTATTTATTTATTATCTCCCCGTAGCAAATTATTGAAATTTGAAGTAATCGAGAACGATTTTTTGTACTATTTAACCTTTACCTTCTCCTTTTCTTAGTTACTTTTACCTTTTTCTTTATCTTGAAAAGATTCTAATCATTCTGGCATGCATTAGAAAAGATGTGTGTATTTTGTAGCATGCATGTAAATTTGAATATATAGATACAATTGTTGTCTGTATACTTTCGTTTGAATAAATCGATTTGCAAAATTCGATTCATTGCATTCTGCAAGAAACAAATTCAGTCGTAATATTAGATAATTAAATAGATACTTCTTTTGGCCTAGCAAGATGTGATCTTTATTGAACATTAAGTGGTAGATTTAAAAGTAGCAAAAAATTTAAAAATGGTCGATTTAATTTTTTTTGCATCCGTACATTTACGTAAGTGGCAAATATAGAGAATATACCATACATTGTCAGGTCTATTTATTGAACATGAGACCAAAAATGTAGCAATGGTGTTTCTTGTCAGAAAATATCAATTATATATAAAAACTTATTTTTTGGATGCTTCAACAAGATTGAGTATTACAGTAAAAAATAATCTTGAAATAAAATGCAAAACTAGTTGTGTATGGCATCGTGCCTCAAGGCAAATTGCTGGAACTTCCCGTTCGAGAAATATTAAATGTTTTCATATAGATTATTATAAATACTCTAATTTTGTCTAATATTTATAAGAGTTATGTAAACTGAATTACAATGTTAAAGTTATTTATTTAAAAGATATAAGTGAGCTTTGGAACTTTAACCAGGATTTGAATTATAATCTGAATTATTTTCGATATACAAAAAAAATCTTTAGAGAAAAAAAATTTGAAAAAAAATTTTTGAATTTTTTTCCAAAAGCAACTATTTTGTCAAAACAAGCAGAAAGTTTTTTGAATCATTCAAATCGAATGCTCAGTTCTCGCAAAAACTGCCATTTTTTGCACATTTAGCTGGATTTGCCTTTGCCAAAATCTAAACACCTTCTACCCGTCATTACAAATTTAATGTTTTGTAGATCATTCAAATCTGATACTTCGTTCTATCAAAAACTCGATTTCTATTTTCTGCACTCTTTGCTCCGTATCTCCAAAACGGCTGAACCTGACTTTGGCAAAAACTAATCAGCACATCTCCCTATCAATAGGAATCGAATGTTTTTTGAACCATTCAAATCGGTTGAAACGTGGACGAAAAATTGTATCCGTACATACATACACATACACATATCCATTTTTTCTGAGGTGAAATGTTCAGAAACCTTCAAAACGTGAAGAAATGTAAATATTTTAAATTTTTATTAATGTTTGATAGATTTAGATACCTGTATAAGGAAAATAACTTGTTTTTATCAATATATCTATAACCATTTGCAAAAGTTATTACAAACACACATACATATATATATATATATAATACTTATATATATATATATATATATATATATATATGCCAGCAAGAGAGAAAACTTGCAATTTGCAAGTAAATATTTGAACATTAATTTTTGCACCAAAAAAATAAAAAGCTAGGAAAAATCGTTGTTTTTACCCAGTGTTTTTAAAATTTACTTAGAGGTAGTAAACAAAAGTTTTTTCTTATAATTTGTTTACAATAATTTCCATGGGTTATTGACTTCTATTTTTCACTAGTAGTGTTAGTACAACTCATTGTTTGCGAAGAGAATAATACAAAAGAATGATGCTGAAGCACGTCTTTCTTGGAACGTTTTTAGAATACTAATTGTACATTTAAGATACTTTAATATACGGTCATAGTCAATGGTGGAAGCTTTTAAATACTTAAGCAAAAAGGCTTTGATTACAATTATTCTTAAATTGTTGTGTGAAAGACTGTGTATCTAAAAAGCAGTCTAATAATAAAAATTCTACAGTAAATTTAAATATAACATATTTTGTAATTGATTTTAAGTTGTATATGCTGAAGTCAAAATTTATTTGAAATTTTGTCAAAAACAAATTATTAATAAAAAAAAACCATTTTGTTAAAATTTTCAGATCATCATTATATTTTAAATTTTCAAGAAGTTTTATGGATATAGGCTACATTATTTAATCAACGCAATTCAGTTTAATTGTTAGGTTAAACATAATCTAAATACGTATTTTAAAATATAAAGATCACACTGGATGCAACCTTCACACGAAACTTCATCAGAAAATATCATAAAAATTGGAATAACATTCAATTAAATTTACCTTTTTTAAAATTGTTTTTTTTTAACTTGCTCTACATTTTTATTAACCAGGTTCTTCCTCGGCAGTATGAAAGATTAGGTTGTCCTTTTTACACCAATTTTATAGGAATAAAGGTATCGAATATAACTTCTTGAAAATAGCAATACATTTTATAAAATAATTAAATAAACCATACTCAAAATTTATATTCAGGTATCGTGAACAAAGCGACCGTGTTCAGAAACAAAAAGACTAACAACAAAAAATGTGGCCGTTTATCTTGTGACAGCAATGTCGCTCAAATTAAGACGATTGTTGGTTATACATCTCTTGCCCTCTACTTTCAAATATTATTGTTAAAAAATTGATATTTTTACTTATTTGAAATATTGATAGCAGACCTTCTTACCCGCGGACCTTTAAGCCTCGCTCAATCATTTATATCTATTATTTCAGAATTTGGAATCTTTAAAATAGTGAAAATTTTAAAATCTGATAAATACAATACCCATTTTGCTTCTTTCGTCCATTTTACTTGAGAAGAAACGTCTCTATCCACCAAAACGTTCAAAAAATCATTCAATAAAAATCGTTAAAATTAGTAATGCAACTTCATTTTTTTAAATTGTTGCTGATTTTTTTGAGAAAACATGACTATAAGCCAAATTTTCTGTTCTATACATGCACATAGGGTTTGAATGAAGTTAGCAAATCAAAATTTCAGACTAAAATATGAACTTCTCCCTTGGGATGTTAACAAGTCCATAAACGCGTTGCATAATCCGTTTAACGCACACATTTCACTGAATTACAGTTACAATAATTGGACAATAAAATTACCATATAATCAATATTCCTAGTTTATTAAACATCATAACTGTTCTCATATAACACATCAATCGATTGCGTAGGTGTCGCATCAGGTATCAATGCGGTCAAACCAGTTCTTAACAATTTGCATTAAAGTAATAAATAATTAACAAATTAATGCATTACACTGTGCAAACATTCTTTCTCATGTAACGACTGAGAAATTCTCAGAAACATAAAGTTCAAATGTGAATTTGGTATGCGAGTTTCACAACTGGAGTCAATATGAGTTATATTTCTTGTAACATGTCCATAAATCAACAATGAAATGATCTGGTGAGGCCTGAAGTAGATTTATAGTCATAGGTTAGGTTTTGAAGAAAGCAAGTTTATAGACAGGATAATAAATTTTTGTAAGAAAAATGCATAACAAACTCGTGTGCTAAAAACATAATTTATATTTTTCACGTAGGTTTTAAAAAATCCAGCAAAGAATAGTATTTAATTAAATTGTCCATCATCGATGATGGCTTTGTTGATGGCAAGTTGCAAAAACTTCCCGATATGTGCAAATAATCGACATAAATAATTTGAAAAGACATTTAGTAACCTCTGAAATTGTAATAATATAATTTGAAAATTTTGTGAAAATGTAGAAAATGTTGCACATTTTTAATTTTAAAGAAATGGCTTGGCTAACTTTTGTCGCCCAACGTCCTTATCCGCTATATAGAACAGCTTCTAAATTGTTGAAATCGGTAAAGCAGTTTTGGAGAAAATGTCAACAAACAGACAAATTTTCGCTGGTCCCAAGCGATTGAAAATGACTTGACGTAAAAACGTCAAAACATATGAAATTAATGGGTGTGATTTTCAGACGAAAATTAACTTCTCCTTCGGGATGAGGACTAATTTTGGGCAGAAAAACTGTACTTTAAACTCAAAGTACATGTATATAATATAAATTTTTATTTCTGTGAAATTTTTATTGGAGCCAGCATAGAAAAAAGACAATATAAATTATATTGTCTTTTTTCTATGCTGCCTCCAATAAAAATTTCACAGACATAAAAATTGAGCAATATTTTATTTTCTAAAGTTAATTTAACAAAATTCAAAAACCCTTTTTCAGCAGATAATCCTCAAATTAACACAAAGAAGCCGTTGAAAAATTTCTAATCCAATTAATAGATTAACCATTAACCCACATCAGCCAAACACTTTTCCTCAAAGTAGCGTTACTTGTAAAACGAAAAATTGCTAAATAACTCAAATTCTAAACTATTTTCGAATTATTGCAGAATAATCGAAACTTATCTGCATCATCCTTAGGATATACAATTTTACCTTTAAACTAATCTCTTTTGCTCCAAAAATGGGGAAGATTTTTAAAAAAATCTTGTTCTCAAAAAAAAAAATACAACCAGTTTTAGCATTTTTGGCGCAATAATTGAAAATTTGACACAATTAAAACGTGATTTACCCTAAATCAATCTCTACTGGAAACACATTAAAGTATATGGATAGATTAATGTTTAATATTTATTATCGAAAACAAACAAAAGTGGGTTAGTTAAATAATTACTATCAATTCATAAATATTAATGTAATGTACACAAAAATCAATATTACAAGGGAAATCAAAAATAGAGTATTTTACAAAAATGTGTCAAGATTCTTAGCAGAACTGGATGTGAAAATGATTTATATAAATATGTAATAAGCGGATTGACGACCTTGCATCCATTACTGTTCTAAATAGTCTCTATCAGATATTTTACATAAAAATAGGAATCAACTATTTCTTGTACATAACTTATAAAAAGAGCATAACACATTAAAAACGGTAGAAGCAAGAATAATTCTTTTTATCCATGCACAAAAGAACCAAAAAAATTTTTGAAGCTTTGAAGCAACCACATGGCAATTATAGAAAGAACGAAAAAAATATATTGATACCAAAGAAAACAAACGTAAGGTGTAAGTGATATCTTATTGAGGCCAATCAAGAATAATTGTAATCTACCGATTATTTCTTTCCTAACTCAATTTAATCAAACTATTACCCAAATCAAAATCTACTAATTACCTACCATCTTGGAACAAGTTGACCAAACAAAACAACATTTCCAACCAAATCTATTCAAAGAATTCATAATGCGTTCATAAACTTTCAAAAGTATTGAAAAACTAAATCGAAATAATATTAAAATCAAACTGCTCAGCCAATCTTTGCGAGAAATAATTTTCCAACTAATAGTTAAAAAAAATAGTACCAAAGTTTTTAAAACAATAAAACTTTTTACAAAAGTTACTGGAACAAAAAGAAAGTTGATTAACAAATTGTAGAATTTGAAAACAAACAATATTTATTTCTAACTGAACAATTTTTTTTGTGAAACTAAAAAGCTTGCTGCATGTCATCGTGTCCTAAGGCAAATTGCTCCAACCTCCGGTACCGTATAGAAATATTTGGAAATTGTTTTCAAACAGATTGTTATAAATACTCTAACTTTTATTATTTAAAAGTTTTGAAATATATTATTATAAATACAGTAACTTTTATTATTCGTATTTTGTAGACAAAATATAAGATCTTATAAATTAGAAACCGACGTTTATATATGTTTATATGAAAAGTAAAAAAAAAACAGAACTTAATGAAGCGGGGTTAGAATGAATAACCTTGTCCCATATTTTTAAGAACTATATAAATTGAATTACGAAGTTAAAATTATTTATTTCAAATATATAAGTGAGCTTTAGAATTTCAGCTAGAATTAAAATTAAAATCCAATCATTTTTTGATATTTCATGTTTCCAAATGTTTTTTGAACCATTCAAATCTGATGCTTCGCTCTCTTAAAAACCTATTTTCTGCACTTTCAGCTTTATATCTCCACTATGGTTCTATCTATCTTTGCAAAATACTAACCATCACATCTCCGCATCAGTAAGAATCGAATGTTATTTGAATAATTCAAATAGGATTATTCGTGCGCCCAAAATCGTGAACAAAAAATTGTACCCACACAAAACACACACGCACTCTACACATCAAATTTTTCTAGCGTATGCTAAAATGTTCAGAAACCTCTGAAACTTAACAATGCAAAAAATTTCATTTTCGATTTTTAGACGATCACTATAACTTACGTCACTGGAAGTTTATTATACCTCCAATGGTTGATTATGAAAGAATAAAAAAACATCTCGGGTGATTGAAGTTTCAAATAAATAACTAGACCAAAAAAGTAGAGAAAAATTTCATGAAAATTAAATTGAACTGTCATGATACGACTTGAAATTAGAGTAGCGTTAGATTTGCATGACATATTTGACTTTATTACAATTTTTTTTGAATAGTTATTTTTATAATTATACATAAGAAGAATTTTATAATGATGTTTAATTCATATTTTCAGACGGCCCAATAGCTACAGAACACTGCGATTGGCTTTACGGCATTTTCGGACATGAAACCTCATGCACCCGTTATTGGACATGTTGGAACGGAACCGCCACAGAACAACTTTGCATCGGCGGACTTTTGTACAACGAAAGGGCACACTCCTGCGATTGGCCCGAGAACGTGGATGGTTGCCAAAAACATCGTAAGAAAATACTGTTTTATATTTAAAAAAAAACATATTTTTACTATTTTTACTTCTGATAAATAAATTATAAATTTTTTTCCCCCAGCTTTGTGTAACGAAGATGCCAACGGCAACGTACCTTTAGGAAAATCCTGCAACCGTTACTGGCAATGCCAGGGCGGTTATCCGCGACTGCAACGCTGCCCAGCGATGTTGGTGTTCGACAGGCGAAGCTTGAGGTGCGTCGCTCCTCCCACTGAAGACTGCGATGTTCCACCAATTGCTCAGACTGGACCTGGAGGAATCGACAATGCTGATGATGATCAGGTTGATAGATAAAAATAATTAGATTGTTTAATGATAAAATAATTATATGAACTTGCATCAAAATGTCCATAAAGTGAGCCTTAAGGAAAATTTCTGGAACTTCCCGTTATATAAACAAATTTTAGATGAAAAAAATTATTTACCAAATTGAAATTTTCCATCTACTTAACAGCATATGGTCTAAGAAACTCTTTAACGTTTAATAAATATTAAACTAATGACATTATAAACATTTTAAACTTTATGGTCTACTTAAAAGTAGTAGACTATAAACAAGTATTTGATTAATAAAATTAAGTATTAGTGCAATTATTGCGCCTTAAAGCTAATATCCGGCAATAGTTTGCGAACATATTTATTCCCCATTGCCCCCTGGGTCATCTGCAAACATACTTGCGATTGAATATTCAAAAATTTTTTTTTAAATTACTGCTGTAATCTAAAAAAAATAATAAATTTACTTAACAAATTATTTAAATGAATACTCAAAAATCAATTAATGTAAAAAGTGTCAAAAAACGACTAAAATTATAAGATTTTAATTATTATGCAGAAGAATTACAAGATCAGATGAGAAATTATGTCGTTTTTTATTTATTCCGATTTTTTGCAATTTGACGGTAAAAACTACATTAGAAAACATATGCTTCACACCCAATACAGATAAACTTTTTTGTAGACCTCTGTAATTAATAAGCAATACAAATCGACTACAGATTAATAACAATTGTTTAAAATTGGGTACGAAACTCAAAGAATGGAAATAAAATTTGTACTTATTATAAAAATCTCTATAAAACATCTGATAATTTGATGTGCTTTTGTTCAATGATGATTTTTGATCATCAAATGTCCAAAAGAAAATTTTATAGTTTTTTTCTGCATATCCGAAACCGATGGACTTGCCTTTCCAAAAAATATAATCAATTTCCACTTCGTCAATACAAGTAAAATCTCTCAGAAAGTGATTTGCCATATTTTGTTTTTTTTGCCCAATATCTTCTAAAGGCACTTAGGCACACACATATACCAATTTTTTCTTAGATAGGCCAAAATGTTCAGAAGGCCTTGAAAAGAAAAGATATACAAAAATTTTCTTTTTCGATGTTTAAGCATTTATTATACTACTTTGCGCAAGTTCATAAATACGTTAAAATTTGTGAAGTTTCTATTTAAAAGAAATAAGCCAAAAACAGTCAAGTAGTTAATAACTGCCATCGGTGAAAGACAGATCAAATAGCTGTTACAAAAATATATTTTGCCAAATTTAACTTTTTTTTCAGTTCTAAGACCCTTTGAAATGTGAAAAATGTTTAAATATGATCAAAAATATATTAAAAATGATTACAATAACCAATAATTTCTTACCTCTCACTCTTTTTAGTTGAAAACCAATACTTTTATTAAACATTTTTACTAATTGTATAATTCTTTAATTTTAATAATCGATCTACTTTAATGTATAATTATGAAAAACAGTGACTTCTAAATGTTTTGTATATATTTTCTATTAAGCAAATATATCATATGAAACAATAAAATTCTATTTTAGCGAACGAATAAAATGATTTCGCATAGAAGTTGATATAAATTTTTCTAATGGGTATCTAATGTTTGTTTTTATTAAAGTGAGGTGCCATCTAGCATCTTAATATAATCTTGAAGAAAGCGTAAAGGTATCATTTATTTTAATAAATGTATCTTCAGATATCTTTTACTATTTTTTTGTTAACAACAAGTGTAAAAACTTGTATATATATACAATTTTATTTGAATACATTTGAATGCTGTAATGTATTTTCTTAATCATTTACTGATTTACTTATTATTAGTTTCTGTTTAACAAACTACAACAATATGAGTACATGACAGTAATATTAGTTTATTCTATTTTTTATAATTATTATTAGTTGTATGTTTTAAATAAATTTACTAGACTACTGTTATTATATTCCTATTTAGGTATTAAGTATTTTTATATAACGATTTAACTTTGAGTTTAGTTAACGATTTGAAAAAAGCTTTGAAATTTAGAATCTTTATGGAAATGTTGTAATTATTATTAAAAGTAATATCAAGCCAATAAATGTAAATATTTTTTTTATTCTTGTCCAGAATCAAAATCTGAACCAGCGTGGTGGCGATCAATTCCCAAATCTGCCAGCAGGAGCGCTGCCGGTTCCGAGCAGGAACAACAACCAGAACAGAGCGAGGAATTAAAAGCATTAAAATAAAAAATAATATATCACCATTTGTATAAAAGTAATTATAAATACTTTTTTATTATTTTTGATCACAAATGTTATTTTCATACAAACATTACAAAATTAGGTAAAGCATATAAATTAGGTTTTTCTACAAAAATGTATTGCAAAATTGAAAAAAAAATTGAAGATAAGAATAGTTTTTAGTGTAGTTTATCAATATTATTATATAAGATTTATTATATATTTTATACATTACAATATTATATGTATGTATTGATAATATATATTACAAAAATTTAACAGAACCTTTGATTTGGCACAATTGCTTTTATAAAGTTTTTATAAAAGGTTTCCTTGTCTAATACTTGTTTTTTCAGTAATATTTAAATATTGCTAATTTAATTATTTTAATTGAAATAATTTTAAATCAATAAGTTTTATACTTAAGTGAAGAGTACTTAGGAACTTTGAAAATCAGTGAAATAGATATGAAATGTTTAATAATTTAAAGGTATAAATTATTTTTCAAATTTATGTTATCAATCTTATAATAATTTCAATATTCCAAGTTTCTATGCCCGATTATATTATATAATTTATATACAATATATTAAAAGCACTTGAAATCAAATGTAGCGTTATATATTATTGTTGTTTTAAAAAACTTATCTATTAGTAAAATCAACTTTTGATTAACGCAATATTTATGACCTGCTTTTAGAAAAATAGGTGACTCAATTTTTTTTAGTTTATCTCAGTTTTTTAAATAGGCAAATCCAGCAGGAGAAAAAAGTGAAAAACGATAATTTCGAAACAAGAAATAAATGACTATGCACTCAAATTTTAGCAATTTCAATTATTATATTTTTTATAATTATGACAATATATAAATAGATACTATATATTATATAAAAAGCATATTAAAATTGCTTCTACTGATTAAAGTATAATTTATTCAAAGTAGTACAAGGTACGATTAAAATATTAATATATAAATTATCAATATTTGAATCCTTAGTGGACGATTAATAAATTTTTTATATATTTTAATAAAAACATTTGTATATAAATTGCTAATAATTTTTTAACATTTACAAATAATGTCGATGAGAAAAGTTTTCCAATTCCTGCCATATCGTATTGCTCTTAATACAAATTTAATCTCCATGTTTGGCTTCCCGATTATTAAATTTATTGATTTAGTAGAAAAATCGAAATAGATTATTCTAGCATAGTCTTTTTCGTGTTTTATAATGCCATTTTGGAATACTCAGAAAATATCGCTCTTTGGTCAAGATTTTAGAGAACAACTAGTTTCTAATGAAACTAATAAAACTATCTGAGTTAACAATAAGCACTTTTTGGTTTGGAATGAAGCAGAATCAGTCGAAAACATTCTGTGCTTGTAAATCTACAATCGATTGGATTTTATCGAATTTCCCACAAGAACTCATAAAATCAAAATCAAGGATCAAAGATTCAATAAGAATCAAAAATTTAAAATCTCAATAATTCGATGTTCCTTATTAGAAAATTTAGAAGAATTAAATTTATTTTTCACCTAATTTAAGAAGCATAAATGATCATAGATAATTCCAAATATGATTTAATATCAACATAGAAAAGATTTTATAAAATAATATTTATTTTATATTCTAAATTTGTAATAATTTTCAGTTTATGAAATTATGAGTAAAGTAAACGATTTCAATTATTAAATTGTATTGATCATAACTTTTCTACAAATTTTAGTAAATATTGGAATCGCAGCATGTGTAGGCTTATATGCAGAGTGTGATATAAAAATACTACAAAAATAGATATTTAATTGCCATATGAATGACATCATGCACCAATAGATCGATATATGTTTATTTCGAAAAATAAATAAAACTTTATTAAAATAATTCTTGAAGAAATTTCTAAAGTTGCAAGTTGCAATGTAATATATACTTTTAGATAATTTATTAATTAATTACTCAATATATCAAAGCTTTAATATTCAGAAAATTTTAATTGCCTTATGCATATATCCCTACACCGGACTTTTAAGGAAATTTTTAGGATAAGTATTTTTTCTACAAATTATAATTTTATTCAGTTTAATTTATAATATTTACATTTACGTTTTACTAGTATATTATTTAATTTAAAAAAGTATTTTAAATATTATTTAATATTTATGATTAAAAATTAAAGAACATTTTATATTTATTATTTTTTTATAAAAATTCTCTAACAATATTTTAGTTATTTCAATTTCCGTGTGAATCACGTCCTTTTTCGTTGTAGTAGATCATAATTTTATTAAAAAAAATATTTTAAAAATTATTTAATCATTAGAATTACACTAGATTCGTGATAGTATTTTATAATATTTTAATTAAAATTGCCGTATAAATTTCTTTGAACTATATCCAATTATATTATCAAGATAAAAATATATTATAAAATTTGCAAGAATTAATTTTCTGAATAATTTATAAATGAAATATGATATATACAAGTAGTTTATACATGGATTTAAACTTGTTTTAAAAATACTTTAATGATTATATAGATAATGTCAAGTTTATATTCGCAAGAATTACCTATATAAAAACTATAAGAGTTTTGATATAAAAATGCAAAAAATACTTTTGTGATTTTAGAACATTATTTTATTAAACTAGTGATGTATGGTATCGTGCCTTAAGGCAAGTTGCTAGAACTTTCCGTACCGTATTCGAGGAATATTAAATGTTTTCAAATAGATTATTATAAATACTGCAACCTATATATGTTTGAAGAAAGGTAAATAAAACTCAAAAAGTAAGTAAAACTCAATCAAATAAATTTAACATGAAGGACATTGTCTAACATTTATAGGAATTGAATTATATAAACTGAATAGCAAAGTTAAAATTATTTATTTCAAGTATATAAGTAGGCTTTAGAACTTTAGCCAAAATTAAAATTAAAATCTGAATTATTTTCGATATGCAAACAAAAAAGATTTTTTGAGAAAAAAAATCGGAAAAACATCTTCTTCAATTTTTTTTTCAAAAGCAATTACAAAACAATTGTATTTTGTTTTTTGAAACATTCAAAATCATTGTGCGCCCGAAAACGTGGACGAAAAATTTTGGACACACAAAACATGCACACGCACACACACATTCATTTTTTCTGAGGTATGCCAAAATGTTCATAAACCTTCAAAACGTGAAGATATGCAAAAAATTTAGTTTCGATTTTGGCCCATTACTATATCTTACCCTACGGGAAATTAAAAAACCCTCAAAAACAATCGTTTTGTCAATGCAAGCATGAATTATTCAAATTTGATGCTTCTTTCTCTCAAAAACTACCATTTTTGCACATTTAGCTTCTTATCTCTAAAACCGCTGGACCTGTCTCTGCCAAAAACTAATCAGCACGTTCCTATCAGCAAGAATCAAATGTTTTTTGAACATTTTAAATCGGTTGATACGTGCACCCGAAATCGTGGACAAAACATTGTATCCACACAAAACACACTCACACATACACACACACACATCGGTTTTTTCTGAGGTGTGCCAAAATGTTCAGTAACTTCTGAAACGTGAAGATATGCGAAAATTTTCATTTTGGATTTTTTGATGATAACAATAATTATCGATCACGTGATCAATGGACGTCCCCAAAGATAGATGGAATGATAGACAGGTAGTCAGATAGAAAGACAGATAAAATGGTAAACAAGTAGATATATAGAATGATGGATAGGTGGATAGGTGGACATGTGAACTTTAGGGTGGTCCTTGATATGGATGTTTTTGAATTTTCTTGCTCCCAGTGGCTCAAATGCTTCCAAATTGATGAAAAACAATTCCCCGAAAGTTTTATCTTTTGATATTAGCATTTAGATAGTCCGCACTCCAACCAAAGTTTCTTGATTTTTCTTCCTAAGTAAATACTGATTTTATGGAAAATATAAAATTCTTGTCGTGAATTTTTTATTTATGTTCAAAATAAGTATGATTTATATGTTTTCCGGTGAAATATTCTAAATCAAAAGAACTTAAACTCAGTAAAAGGGTTAAAGATCTTTTAAAGACCCTACGGGAAGTTAAAGTTGATCTAGTCCATATTTTATTAATTAAAAGTACTTTAAAAATACTTGATGATTATATATATAAACAAATATATGTATTTTATAAACTTTTACGCTATATAGAAAATACCCGAACGATTTAAACCGCATCGTAAATTTGTTCTTGTTAACTTCCCGTAGGGCAAGTTATAGTAATCGCAAAAAATCGAAAATGAAAATTTTTATATATCTTTACGTTTCAGAAGTTTCTGAACATTTTGGCATACCTTAGAAAAAATGGATGTATGTGTGTGTGTGTGTGTGTATGTATGTATGTACGTAGGTGTATGTATGTGCGGATACAAATTTTCGTCGACGATTTCGGGAACACGGATCAACCGATTTGAATAATTCAAAAAGCATTCGATTCGTATTGATAAGAAGACGTGCTGATTAGTTTTTGGCGAAGGCAGGTCCAGCCGTTCCAAAGGCACGGGGCAAAAAGTGCCTAAAACGATAACTCAGTTTTTAAGAGAACGGAGCGTCCGATTTTAATAATTCAAAAAACATTTGACTTGTATTGACAAGATGAAGAATTGATCAAATTTTCATGCGGGCAGGTCTAGCGGTTTCGGAGATCTAACCAAAAAAGTAAAAAAAAATGCCATTTGGCGGTCAAAAATGATCATTAGATATATGCACATCAGATTATCAGATATTTTATAGAGATTTTAACAATAAGTATAAATTTTGTTTGCATTCCTATGGGTTCCGTACCAATGTTTATTCGGAAGTCGGCGACGCGGCGCTTACGCGCTTTGACATTTTGTCTCTATGCAGTTAAAGCAGTACGATCGCTTTGAAAACTAGCTGTAAGTGGAATTCTGTCTTGAGGCAATTATGGCATCGTGCCTTAAGGCAAATTGCTGGAACTTCCCGTACCGTAACGAAATGTTCGAGGAATACTGAATGTTTTCAAATAGATTATTATAAATATTGTAACATTGTCTAATATTTATAAGAATTATATAAACTGAATTGCAGAGTTGAAATTATTTGTAAAGTATATTAGAACTATAGTCAGAATTAAAAATAAAATCTGAAATATTTTTGATAAAACTAAAAAAAAAAAAAAAAAAAAAAAAAAATTGAACAAAATTTTTTTTCCAAAATCAATTATTTTGTTAAGACAAGCAGAAAGTTCTTTGAATCATTTAAATCGGACGCTTAGTTCTCTCAAAAACTGCCATTTTTTACATATTTAGCTCCATATCTTCGAAATGGCTGGGCCTGCCTTTGCCAAAAACTAATAAGCACTTCTCCCAATCATTACTAATTGAATGCTTTTTAGATCATTCAAATCAGATACTCCGTTCTCTCAAAAATTCGATTTCTATTTTCTGCACTCTTTGCTCCGTATCTCCGAAACGGCTGGACCTGCCTTTGCCAAAAACTAATCAGCTCTTTTCCCTATCAATATGAATCGAATGTTTTTTGAACCATTCAAATCGGTTAATCCGTGCGCCCTAAAACGTGACTGGAAATTTGTATCCATACATACATACACACACACACACACACACATCCATTTTTTCTGAGGTATGCCAAAACGTTCAAAAACCTTCAAAACGTCGAGAAATGTTAAAATTTTCAATTCCGATTTTCGGCCCATTACAATAACTTACCCTACGGGAAGTTAAAAAGTTCAGATCTTCCAAAATAAGCCAAAATAGAGAAAACATCATTTTTTCAAAAAAAAATTGAAAAAAAAAGTTTTTTTAAAATTTTTTTTTTTTTTAATTTTTTTTTCAAAAAAAAAAGTAATTTTTTGTCCAATTTATCGTTTCTCAAAAATCTTATTTTTTCGAAGTAAATTTTTTTTGAAAATGTCAATTGTTTTTTAAAAAAATAATAATTTTTGGTACGGGAAGTTCCAGGAATTTGCCTTAAGGCACGATGCATTAATTGCCTTAAGACAGAATTCCACTTACAGCTAGTTCGTCCTTTATCCGTTATCCCTATCCCGTTATCCGAGTATTCCACCCTTCGGCAAGTTCAGGTTGCGCGGTTGCGCCAGTGCGGCGTGAAGTTCTCCGTCAAAGTATTGAATGAATGCGAAATGTCAAGAGACATGAGCAGATGTCATTCAGAGTTTGTTAGCGCTAGAGCCGTGCTAGTGGCGTCAGACTTCTAATTCGGTTCCATTTCTCCGTCCTTACAATTAAAAACAAATAACGAAAATTAAATCAGAAAAGACTCGCACACGAACAGATAATGGATAATAAATAAAATTCAATTTATCACAATTATGTGACTCGAGGGTCAAGGAGACAGGAATCGTTCGATGCGTGAGTATTAATAAACGCATTCGTGATTTGATTTGTAGTTTATTTGCAATTCAGTTTAAGATTAAAAATAATAGTGCTTCGGTAGGCTGCTTCTTGTAGTTTTTATGAGATTGTTTTTTGAAGGTTAGTGTCGAATGTGTTGCGCAATTTTGCCATTAAACTTTATGGTTCCTACCGAATTGTGAATTAAATATTAAAGGTTTAATAAGGTTTCAGTGTAACGACATATACAGTTCGTGGAGTTTCTGTTTTATTCATAATTTGAGCAGGTATGTAATCGGAATTATAGAGACGCCTTATTATGAACTAAATTCAGCACTCACATTTATATATAAGCCAAACAAGCTGTAACTTAGTAACACCGCGTTTTGGAGCCCCCATAAAAATTCTGTTTTATTCATAATTTAAGCAGGAATGTAATCGGAATTATATAGACGCCTTATTATGAACTAAATTCAGTACTCTCATTTATATATAAGCCAAACAAGCTGTAACTTAGTAACACCGCGTTTTGGAGCCCCCATAAAAATTCTGTTTTATTCATAATTTGAGCAGGTATGTAATCGGAATTATAGAGACACCTTATTATGAGCTAAATTCAGTACATACTCTCATTTATATATTAGCCAAACAAGCTGTAACTTAGTAACACCTCGTTTTGGAGCCCCCATAAAAATTCTGTTTTATTCATAATTTGAGCAGGTATGTAATCGGAATTATAGAGACGCCTTTTTATGATCTAAAATCAGTACTCACATTTATATATAAGCCAAACAAGCTGTAACTTAGTAACACCGCGTTTTGGAGCCCCCATAAAAATTCTGTTTTATTCATAATTTAAGCAGGAATGTAATCGGAATTATATAGACGCCTTATTATGAACTAAATTCAGTACTCTCATTTATATATAAGCCAAACAAGCTGTAACTTAGTAACACCGAGTTTTGGAGCCCCCATAAAAATTCTACATTGTATATGATTAAATAGCGGTATATAGGGTTTCGCATGTTAAATGATATAGAACTTTATACTGAATCTTTACTATAATGTATATTTATGTTGTGTTTACTTGGAAAGTCGAAAATAAACTACACCGTTTTATATCACTTTTGAATTACCGAAATAATTCTTTTTGCTGAAACCTTGTTGAAACTCTGTTCTTATCGAATATTTTATATATAGGGTGAAACGAGGCTTAAAGGTCCGCGGGTAAAAAGGTCTACCACCGATATTTCAAAAGTTTGTAAAGTTAATAATTTTTAGCAACAATATTTGAAAGTAGAGGGAAAAAGATGTATCACCATCCATCACCTTGATTCTTACGACATTGCTACTGGAAGAAAAATGGCATTGTTTGAAAATCCTTAACAAATGTATTTTATTTCATTATTAGTTTTTTTTTTGGTTGTGAGCACGAGTTTACGAGCAATCAATATAATTTTTAAGTGTACGTTATATAATTGTTTTATAAGATGTATTGTTAATTAACTTCCCGTAGGGTAGTTATAGTAATGGGCCGAAAATCGAAAATGAAAATTTTTGCATTTCTCGACGTTTTGAAGTTTTCTGAACATTTTGGCATACCTCATAAAAAATGAATGTGTGTGTGTGTTTTGTATGTCCGCATTTTTTCGTCCACGTTTTCGGGCGCACGGATCAACCGATTTGAATGGTTAAAAAAACATTCGATTCCTATTGATAGGAAGATTAGTTTTTGACAAAGACAGGTCCAGCCGTTACGGAGATACGGAGCAACGAATGCAAAAAATACAAATCGAGTTTTTGAAAGTATAGAGCATTTATACTTATTTATCTATGTATAGAGCATTCGATTTAAATGATCCAAGAAACATTCAATTCATAATGATGGAGAGAAGCGGTGATTAGTTTTTAGCAAAGGCAGGTCCACCCATTTCTAAGATACCGAGCTAAATGTGTAAAAAATGGCAGTTTTTGAGAGAACCAAGTGTCCGATTTGAATTATTCAAAGAACTTTTTGCTTGTTTCAACAAAATAATTGCTTTTGGACAAAAATTTTAGTTTCTAATTTTTTTTCTCAAAAAAATTTTTTTTTGTATATTGAAAATGATTCAAATTTTAATTTAAGTCTGTTCTAATATACTTTAAACAAAAATTTCAGCTTTGCAATTCAGTTTATTTAATTCTTATAAATATTAGACAATGTTACAATATTTATAATAATCTATTTGAAAACATTCAATATTCCTCGAAAATTTCGTTACGATACGGGAAGTTCCAGCTGTTTGCTTTAGGGCACGATGCCATACACCACTAGTTTTAACTTAGATTTACCACTTTTTTTATATAATCTCTATAAAAGCTTACACGTGAGTGATATAAAAAGGACCATCTTAACCCTATGGTGGTTTTTATAAATACCTTATAAAACATGAATGTGTGTATGCGATTTCGGGCGCACGGATTAACCACTTGAATAATTCAAAAAGCATTCGATTTCTAATGATGGGGAGACGTGCTGATAAGTTTTTGCCAAAGACAGGTCCAGCCGTTTCGGAAATACGGAGTAAAGAATACAGATAATAGAAATTAAGTTCTTGAGAGAACAGACCATCCGACTTGAATGATTCAAAAAACATTCAATTCGTAATGATGGGGGTATTGATTAAATTTGGCAAAGACAGGTACAGCCGTTTTAGAAATACGGAGGTAAACGTGCAAACAATGGTAGTTTTTGAGAGAACTAAGCGTCCAATTTGAATGATTCAAAGAACTTTCTGCTTTTTTTAACAAAATAATTGCTTTTGTAAAAAAAATTGTGTATCAATTGTGTATCAATTTTATCAATATACTTTAAACAAATATTTTTAACTTTGCAATTCATTTTATATAATTCTTATAAATATTAGACAATGTTACAATATTTATAATAATCTATTTTGAAAACATTTAATATTCCTTGAACATTTCGTTACGGTACGGGAAGATCCAGCAATTTGCCCAAGGCACGATTCCATACACACCATCAGTTTAAATTTTTCATTCAAATTTCTCTATAAGATGAAATTTTCGGTTTTGAGATCATTGAAAGCATACAAGTTGTATGTCAAGGTATAATTTTGATGTATCAATTCGTTTTTAGAACATACATCTGTGATAAGTCAGATCGCAACCTAGGATTGCAGTAATAAAAAGCCTAAACTAAAATAATAAAAACAAATATCATTTATTTTAAATGAAATGTCTATACTGAAAAAGATATCGAGTAATAGTGATGAAAATCTTATATAGCTAACCGGTGTTTCTAAACTATTGACCTGAAGGATTTTTTATGTTGTCAAGTTTTAAAAATGTTGGCAAAAACTACTGTATACATTCTTAAAATTGTTCTTGATGAAATTTTAAATAAAATTATGTTTTATAGTTTTAAGGTGAAAAGGAAAATGTTGAGAAAACGTATAAAAAAAAATTAAAATTCAACAATTTAATATGTAGTTAACAAAATCATTGGACATACAAGTAATAAACTAAGTATAATTTAAGTTTCAAACTTAAACTATAGAGATAATTTTAACTGACAATGAGGTACTGCAATATCAAAACATGAAAAATAAAACGCTATAAAAGTGTAAAACTAGTGCACACACAAAGCACTAATTGTAATAACTATACAATCAATGCAATAAAATTCAACGTTAACCGAAACGATTTAGAACTATTGCACTGTTAGTCTACTATATTTTCTTGTCATAAAACTGAAACATATAGGAACCGCAAATATAGTCCTTCTGCATTATTATTGGAGTCTTATTTTTTCTGTCGTTTTCTGACCCTTTTTATCTCTAATTACTATTGAATTTTACTTAAATTATATAATGAGTTTTTATTTGTATAATTCAGCAATAATTTGCAAACTTGTTTTTACTCACCCAGGGTAATCTGTAACCACATAATCTGTTGTAGTTTAAAAAATCTCAATAGAAAATTTAAGTCGTTTTTTCCTCCATTTTTTGCATTTTGATCCCCTATTTTGACTTTAGTTAGATTCGTGTTCAGTGATAAAAACTACTTCGAAAAACATATGTCGCGCACCCAAACTGACCTTTTTTTTTTTTGAGAGTCTGTGTAATTTGAGAAAATACGAAATCTCGTTGGAGTTAAAAAAATATAAATATCGAGAATAATAAAATGGTAAAACCAAATTTGAAAAATAGTACGCAAACTGGCGATGATAAAAGTCACCAAACAGTGGTTCAATCCCCTGGACATATTTTCAAACAGTGCTTCTATTACTTCTATAAATAGGTCTGAGAATCCGGTTAATATGACGTAGTTTTGCCAGTTTTTTTTGGACATTCGTTTAGGCTCCAGCTATAGGTTTACTTTATTGAATAAACAAGAATTTAACGACTATTACGTGAGTCGTCCGATTATCCCTTAATGGACCACGGGCGCCGTATAGGCGATGATAATTTTACCAACTGGATCCAATGGCGCATATATAGTACCAAACTATTATTAATTTTATTATATTTACTGTTGCAACATTTACAAGAAACGCGTTAATAAAAGTGTTGCGATTTTTTGTGCCTTTCATATACATGGCCTGGATTTCCGGGATGGTCCCGAATCCTTGCTTTTTGGATTTTTTGAAAGCAATATTTATCCTGTGCTCAATTTTTTAAAACCCGATTGTTCTGCAAATTTCAAAAAGTTTTCAATATTAATTTTAAATATAATACAATTAGAATTAAATTTGAGCTGAAAAACTATTCAAACCCCTGATTTAAAATACAAAAAATGTCTTCTTAATTATTGTGTAATTTCATTACAAAAGCAATATTGTTTTTATATTTTTTAATTTCCCAAAGGAGAAGTTTATGCTTTCATCAAAAAATCCGATTCGTTAATTTTATGTTTTCTCGACGTTTCAAGCCATTCTGGATCGAATGAGATCAAATTTGTAAAAAGTATGTGTATGCGTATGTGAACAGTTTTTTGCCGTAAATTGCGATTTCAAAAATTTAAAAGCCATTCGATGGACTATCGTTTGTCAGTTTTGCGCTATGATCGGCCGAACCGTTTCTTTGTAAATCGCAAAATTTTTTGTCCACGTTTTACCCCGTAATTCTGAAAAATTCCAAAACCGTTCGAAAGATATTGGTTGGGAATCCTGCTACTAAACCAGCAAAGTCCTACGGAAACTGGTTCAATTATAAAAATTATTGATTTTTGAAAATTAGCTTTTAGAAAATACTGCGAGTTAACGTCTTCGTTCGTTTTCAATTATGTGTAATAAATCCACTCGGAATACTTTTAATCACTCATAAATTAATTTATTTTTACACATATCGGAAAGTTCATGTAACTTGCCTCAAGGCAAAATACCAATACCAACTAGTTTAAGAAATCGTTCGCAGTTTGAGATTCAGAAGTTATTTAGCTTAAAACTGTCAAAAATAATTACTTTACTGGTTAAGTCATCGGGGTGAATATAATGAATATTTATAAAAAAGAAAAAGCTTAGCACAAAATTTCAATACTCGATTTATAAATGTTTTCAGGCATCTCGTATAAATGCTAGACCTGGAATGAACTTCAATTTGTTCCGGACCGCTAAGGGTTACTGCAGCGGTTTCCAACCTTTTCTTTCTTGCGCCCCCCTTCCGAATGAAAAAAATATTGCGCCCCCCCCCCTTCTTATTTTTCTAACAATTTAATTTAAATATAATTAATATAACTGAAATTATGCCAAATAATACACAGTATTATAAAAAATATACATACAAACATAACTATTTATTATAAAAATTTTCTGTTTCACATAAGTAAGATCTCACAAATGGTGATAAAATTTCTAAAGAATTATTTGTCAAAGTAGGAAAATCGTCCTTTACTGGTAACCAAAACTCAACAATGTATTTTCGTCCTGAAACATCTGCTTCAATGTGCTATCACTAGATAAATCAATTATCATTTTATGCTCTGCTGTTGAATGACCAAATTCATCATGTTTCTCAATGACAAATGGATTTCTAATCCATTCGTATTTAGACGTAATTAGATAAAGTAATGCGAAAATTGGTTTCGTAGACTAGTCACATGACTGATATAATAATAAGATCTTTGCTTACTTCTGTTTCATCAGTAACACAAGTAATTTTAAAAGTGGGAAATATGTTAAAGTTATAAGGTTATTTGATACTAGCTAGTTCTAATCTTTTCATAAAAGCCGTAAGCTTGTCTTTCTGAACAAAAGCACGAATTTGAGATCTTTGCATTGATTTATTTAAATCAAAATTTATTAAAATCTTTGAAAAATATCAACTAAATACGCAAATTTTGCGAGGAACTTTGTGTCCTAAAACAAGATTACTCCGTCTCTTTTGTTATCAGCAAGAAATACAGCAATTTCTTTTTTGAGCTCAAACACACTTAGAAGTACTTTAAGTATTTTGCTGATTTGTTTTGGACACTTACTCAGCATTTATTTAGGACACTTACTCAGCATATTTTTGAAACAACTTTGCGCCCCCCTTGGAACGATATGGCGCCCCCCCAGGGGGGCGCGCCCCACAGGTTGGAAATCACTGGGTTACTGTGACCAAATATTTCTGTTTGATTTCTTAGAGTGTATTCTGACTTCAAAAAAATGTTAAGGGCATATTCTAGCCTAGAGGCATGAATTTTACGCGATTTTTGAAAGGTCATAAAATAAAGGCATAAATACTTTTACTTTAGTATTAATTATTGTTTTGAGAATTTAAAAATAATGATAAAAATTAAAAATAATCAAAGTTTTAACTCCAGGAGGTGATGAAGTGGAGAACCTCAAAAAATTGGCTGAAAAATTTATTATATTGTTTTTGTTTACAAAATAGCTACTAAAAGAGAAATTTTATTTACAACACGTTATTCAAATTAAGAAATTTTGACTTTTGAAATATTCTCGAAATTTTTAAAATTTAAATAAAAATTGGAATTTGGGAATGAGCGTAGTTTATACTGAAGAAAAGTCTATAAAAAAATTAACTAATAATTTTATTTAAATTGGTCCAAAAGAGGTTGAGAAATCTTGAGTATCGTATCGAAAATGACAGTTTCGAGAAAAATGCGTTTAAAAGTATCTGGTAAGAACGGAATGAAGGGAGATTATTGTGCTCTAACAGCTATAACTTCGCAAATAATTTAAATTATAAAAAAAATTTTTGTAGACATATTCTTGAAGAGTTAAACTTAGAAAATATGCGAACAAAAATGAGGTTTTTTTAAATTCTAGGTCATAATACCCCTTTAAGACAGCACGATTACATTAAGACTTCTATAAGAAATTACATTTATAAGAATAGCATTGATAACCAGTTTGAAAGTACCAAAATACCCTACTGTAACAGTAGTACTTTTAATACTACAGAAAAATATTTTTTTGATTGGAATATGAAAAAAATCTAACAGTTTATAATTCAAATTTATAAAAAGTTTAAGAACCACTGGTTTATTACAATTTCCTTTTGGCGTTTATGGTGCCCATCATAAAATCCTGTCTGTTTAAATGTTAAGTCAGTTTTAATGATGTAGTTGATCTATTTGTAGGTTGCGGCAGAAACGCGACGAAGGAAGGATTATTTATAGAGAGTTTCAGTAGTTTCATAGATAACAACTCTAGAAGATAACTAATTAAAGTGATGAAGCTAATTGATGCAATCAGTTAGTGTTATCATATGAATTGCAAAGACAGACCAGTGCCAGAATATTCAGCACAGAAGCAAGATGAAGCATGCGGGGACTGGTGACACTTGTGAAAAGGGAAAGGTATATTAGTAAATTAGAAAACAATTATTATATTTATAATAATTAAAAAACATTACACAAACGAGCATGTTAACACACTTCAAATTGCCAAACTGCACAAACATTTTCCTATTAACATCTAACAAATTTATATATACTAACAAAGCATCTACGAACTACCTATGATCAACTGTGACAACTCAATATCGTTCACAAAATCAATATCTTCATAACTATTTTATGAAAACAATTATCTTAATTATGAATATATTATAAATATAGTTAATATATTATATATTATAAAATAATACTATTTGCTTTTATCAAAATTAAAGTGTTCGATAATTGTTTAAATTCGATTTACTGCTTGAATGATTTTTTACATCAGTTTCCTGTGATCTGCCAACAATCAATATTTTTTATTATTTAAAGCCAATTTACCAAATTGTTAATTTGTACAAACTAAATGTTCTATAAAAGAAATTTTTATATATTTAAAGGCATCATGATATGATACGATAAACTAGTTTTTGATGAGATACTTATATTAATATGATATATGACTGTAGAGCATTTGATCAGATTTTGTACTTATAAATAGTAATTACAAAATAAATAAAAAGCACTTCAAAATGTTATAGTAAAAAGTGTTACTGAAATAAACAATTCTCTATATATATCTAAAAGAATAACTAATATCTAAAATCTAAAAATATCTAAAAAGAATAACTAATACCTAATAATACCTATTACCTAAATAAAAGAATAACGAATATCTAAAAGATAACTAATTACATAAATTGATTCGAAAAGGGAATGCCTGTTGGACTAATGGCAATGAATTAAAGTAAGTTGTCCTATGATCCAAATTTAACATTTGTTTGAGGCACATTTATTGAAAAGTTATAGATAACATCTATGCCATATAATCATCATTTTAAATAATATAAAATGAACAGAATCTTTGTAATGAAAAAGAAAATAATTATATGTATAATCATATATATGAATAATAAGTACATAATATATAAGAAACACTTCAAAATGTTATAGAAAATCGTTTTATCAAAATACAAAATTCTCAAGCAAAAAGGAAACTAATTGACTTGATTCGACAAAAGAATACCTGTCGAATGTTATTATTGAAGTATTGAATAAATAAGAAATCGATTAGTATTGAATCAAAGAAAGATGTCTTATATAATTCAAATTTAACTTTTGTTTGAGACTAGCCTATGAAAAAGCTTTAGATAACATTTATGCCATTAAATTAACATTTTAAAGTATGAGTAGAATCTTTATAATGGTAAAAATAATAATGGAATTAAGAGCTGTGATATAGATTTGAGATCATTGAGAAAGAAGTTAGTGAATAGTATGTGAACAAGTGACGATCAAAGAAACTAATGGTGATTCAATTCTATGGATCAATTTCAAGAGGCACTTTCATTTTCATATTGTTATCATGTTAATAATACTGTAACGTAAAAACTGATAAAGATGCAAAGATATACTCTCAATAAATAAACTCAAATAAATATCATAAGTTTGAACAAGACACTGAAACCAAATTGGTTAATTTTTAATATTATTAGCAGTTCAACAACAATCAATAATGGCTTGTAAATAAATATGTATAGTTGCTCATCATCTATCAAACATAATGGTTATATAAAAATTTCTTTTATAAGTCGAAGCATACGACAAAGGGTATGGCTAATTTTATAATCTGTATATTAATAATGGAAAGTTCACTTCAAGTGGTAACAATTTTATAATTTTGTTAAATACTTGTTCTGAACATTTTAAAAAGACTATTTGAAGTGATTTATTATTATCGATCCAAATTTATTGAGACAAAAAGTGATTTATTGTTATCGAGCCAAATTTTAAATCAGCTTTATGACTCAATATTTGACAAGAATGATTGTCAAATAGGATATTGGTAAAACTATTTCACTTGGTAATTGAGTTTAATGGGAAGTTCACTTCAAGTTGTAACAATTTCAAAATTTTTTAAATACTTGTCTTAAACATTTTAAAAAGAATATTTGAAGTGATTTATTTTTATCGATATAGCCAAATTTTAAATAAGCTTCATGACTCAATATTTGACAAAGATTTGTCAAATTAAGATATTAGTAAAACTATTTCACAAAAGTTCACATCAAGTTGTAACAGTTTTATAAATATTTGAAATACTTGTCTCAGGCATTTTAAAAAGGATATTTGATGTTATTTATTGCCATCGATATAGCCAAATTTTACATCTACTTCATGATTCAATATTTGACAAGAATTATTGTCAAATTAAAATATTAGTAAAACTATTTGGCTTGATAAATGAGTTCAATGGAATGTTCACGTCAAGTGAACAGTTTTACAAATTTTTGAAATACTTGTCTCATGTATTTTAAAAAGAATATTTGAAGTGATTTATCACCATTGATATAGACAAATTTTGAATCAGCTTTATGTATCGATATTTTGACAAGAATGCTTGCCAAATTAAAATATTAGTAAAACTTTTTGACTTGGTAAATGAGTTTAATGGAATGTTTACCTCAAGTGAACAGTTTTACAAATTTTTGAAATACTTGTCTTGGGCATTTTAAAAAGAATATTTAAAGTGATTTATTGCCATTGATATAGACGAATTTTGAATATGATTTATGTCTCAATATTTGACAAAGATGATTGTCAAAATAAGATATCAATAAAACTGTTTGACTTGATAATTGAGTTTAATGGAAAGTTCACTTCAAGTGGTAACAGTTTCAAAATGTTTAAATATAGACAAATTTTGAATCTCTATGTCTCAATATTTGACAAATATGATTGTCACACTAAGATATTGGTAAAACTATATGTAGTAGTATGAGTATAAGTGTATTCATAACAACCAATCGACTCAGTTACCAAGTCAAATAACCCTGTAATGTTTATCCTTCTTGTATGAATGTTCAAACTACTGTCTTAAATATCTTATTAATCTCATATTATCTATTAACCAGGTGATGGTATTTCTTCGAATGAGTTTTCGTGATTTGTGTATAGTGACAGTGTCTTTACCTCTAATTTCATTGTTGATCTGTTTTTGTAACGGCCTATGTCTTCCAATATGATGACATACATGAGACGCATTGTAGAGTAAGTGTGAAATGATATCATCTATATATGTTTTAACTGTCTTCAAATGATTTTAGTTATGCAATTATTGCAAATAATATGAATTGCATCTGTTAAAAATTCAATTGAACAGATACAATTCATCATGTTATAACAGTTGTTTAAAAAATGTAATTTACATAAACTTACCTAATTCTTGTTCCAACACAAAATAATATTAATAAGTAGAGTTAAATTAATTTAACAATGATTAGAAATTAATACACTTCATCAAAAACTTTAACGATTACTGAAAAACTGACATAGATTCGGCACTATTTTCTGCGAAATATTGTGAAGTTGTTCAAGTTTCCGATTGGTTGCAGAAACAGAGTAAAAACAGTGTTGCCAATGGAATAAATTAAGCCGTCATTTTTCAAAACGGAATATATATTTTTTTTAATTAATTCGATTTATAAAAATATTAATTGTATAAAACGTTTCTACAGTATATTTAATTGAATTAAATAAATAAAACTACGCATGTATTTTTTAGTTTCAATGTTTCTTGAAGCTTTTTGAACGAATGCCAGGACTAAAATAGTGCAGAAACTCTAATATATGATGTAAAATCTAGTATATAAAGTAATATTTAGTTTAAAAATTGATAGATCTTTTTCAAATTAGGTATATAATATTATACCATCAATTAGTGCGGTGACAGGCGTAAGTCCCCAAAGATATTTGTGGAGGATAAGTGTTGCTTTGCATATGGGACCCAGGATTGCAATTGCTTTGGTATCAAAAACTTTCTATGATAATCTAGTCATTAATTATAAAGGAGTAAGTAAACCCCGAATGAGTTTCTGATTTTAATTTTAGTATGATGTTTAAATGAAGAATTTTTTTTAACAGCAAGAATCATCCCGAGCCAAAATTTTAAACACATTGTGCCATTGGTTGAATTGCATTGAAATAGCAGCATTATGCGGTGTTACTTATATTTCAAATCGTGAAAATTACCGTAAGTAACAACTTTAGTTTGTAAATATCATTGTAAGTATTATTGCTGTTACTATTGTAACTTTATATTTCTTATAATATTTGCACAATATTAGTATACTTGATAGATAATATAATATATAATAGATATCATATGACAGTAGTTTGTTGTAACATGGAAATATTATTAAATCTAAAATATATAGGGAAATGCAAGAATTACTGACCAATCTACATTCTAAAATTGTGCACTGATATTTCCAATACGCATTAACCTTATATTTTTAAATTTTTATTATAAAGCGATTGCACATCTTATTTTTTACTGTTATTTCTTATTAATACTATTATTTATTTTTTATATTTGCATTCTAGATACAATTTCTGCAAATTTAGTGAATTTTATCAATACATATACATATGCATTTTTTTACATAGAAATTTTATGTAATTACTTTACTGATAATTCCATTTGGGGCTATATACTACTTTTCTATTTATTATATATTATATATTATATTATATATTATATATTATAAAA